AAAGGTCACCTACATTAATTATCCAACCTGATACTTTTCTTTCAGATAGCATGAAGGCAGTACAAATATGTATCAAGATTCCATTCATTCTTTGGAAGCTACCTAGCTATTATCAAAATTGTATAACATTTTTTTTGTTTTTTGTTGTTGTAAGATTCAAATTTAGAGATCTAATTCACGCCTACCTTTAAAGCAATAAATCTGTCCCACGTTCCTCCACAACAGCAGGCCTCTAATGTCCTACAATAGTTACATTTAAACAGTACCTAATCATCGACAATTGCTAATCATCAATAAGAGCTTACCCCATAAATAATGAGCGTCCACACGAAAACTTATGTTTAAGATTAAGTTTTTAAGCAACCCTCCCAATCAATCATTGGCCGGAAGTGCCGAGATAATCCCAGCTACAGGGACGCACAGAGGGTTGACGGAGAGGTCACGCTAATCGTGGAGCTCATTGATTAAATTACGTCCACACGGGATAATAGGGACTTTTAGATTTGCACGTCTACAGCTTTGACTGCAACGTGTGACGTCATTTCAAGGCACTGCGCATGCGTTACGTCGTCTCAGTCGGCGATCGAGAATGCGTCAACCTTGATTTTCCTAAATCTAGTACATACATACATACATATTGGTATTTTTATAGCGCCTTTACATGCTCAAGGTACTAGTATGCCGCGTGCGCATAAAATATACAGTTCCTCAGGTAGACAAAGGAACATCCCTTCCCTGCTATTATGTAAAAATGTGTAGAACAGGTGTCACATGCATAGTCACCTGTTCTACACATTTTTACATAATAGCAGTGAAGGGATGTTCTTCTGTTGAGGGTAAAATGAGGAACTGTATATTTTATCTTCTTTCTTTGTCCGTGATGTTCATAGTATTACTTCCTACGTGCATGTATATCGTCGAGTGCAATCTAAAAGATTTCTAATTGTAGTCAACATGGGCAGTTAAGTAGTTGACACGCATGATCAGTCGGCGTTCCTCGTGTTCTCGTCCACTCAATCTAAAGGTCCCTAATGATAGACTGCGGACCCCCCGCTGCTCGTGAATTGAGCGTAAACTCTAAGAAATTTTGGAGTCTGATTTTTCAACTAAACTTAAAATTGCTAATTTTTTAGTGCATCTATACGGCACTAATCATTGATGATTAGCAACCTAATCGTAGATGATTAAGTTTTCAACCTAATTCTTAAGTTGAGCAAGTACTGTGTCAACCCAACTAATGTGTCAACACGTTGTTCGTTGACCATGACGGAATGTACAACTGCCATAAATTGCCGTTTCAATTGTCAATGTGTAAATGGGGCTTTACGCATTGCTCGTGGACCATGGCGGAATGTACAACTGCCATAAATTGCTGTTTTAATTGTCAAAGTGTAAATGGGGCTTTAGTCAATGCTCGTTGACCATGGTGGAATGTAAAACTGCCATAAATTGCCGTTTCAATTGTCAATGTGTAAATGGGGCTTTAGGCATTGCTCGTTGACCATGGAGGAATGTAAAACTGCCATAAATTGCCGTTTCAATTGTCAATGTGTAAATGGGGCTTTAGGCATTAACACCGTATTCAGGCGCTTACACAGGGGGGGGGGGAGGGGTTTGGGGGGTTAAACCCCCCCCCCCCCCCTTTGGTATTTTTATGTGTGTAAACCCCCCAAACCCCCCCCCCCTTTCGTTTTTTTTTTTAATTATAAAAAAAAAAAAAAAAAAAATTATTCCCATGGCTGTAACCCCCCCCCCCCCAACGGAGCCAAATGTCAAATTTTCAAATTTCGAGACCCCCCCCCCCAAAAAAAAAAGTGTCCTCTTACCCCCCCCCCCCCCCCCTTGCTTATTCAGCGGTTGGCTGAGTCGTTGCGTTTTTTGGGGAACAAAAAAAAAAAAAAAAGTGACCTCTTACCCCCCCCCCCCCCCCCCCCCCTCCCCGCTTATTCAGCGGTTGGCTGAATCGTTGGGATTTTTTGGGGACCACAAAAAAAAAACAAGTGTCCTCTTACCCCCCCCCCCCCCCCCCCTGCTTATTCAGCGGCTGGCTGAGTCGTTGCGAAAATGTGCACACATTGTGTGCGGGTAAGCCTGAATCCGATGACCGGGGTAATAATATATCTGTAAAGCGCTTAGGCACATTGTTGGATCGGTGTATTGAGCGCTATATAAAAAAACAGATTATTATTATTATTTCATAATACAGTGCAACCTCATTATAACAACTCAGTATGTCATACATATCAACCATCACGACCCCATTGCATAAAACTATCGTATCTTTACAATTAATGCTATCTCTGCAAATTATGGTAAATACCATTGATTTCTTGATTTTTATTAGCTATCAAGCACTGTAACTATGGTAACTAGAAATATCGCAATCTGTATTGACGCGCAATGCGAATGTATCCCCCGGCAGTGGCAGCGATTTTGTGTCATCCTTATGGTCGAAGGAGGGACAAAGATCCCCTCTCCCCCCCTCCCTGAATCAAAAGGATGACGTAGAGACCGCCAATTGTGGCTCAGACTATTGTCAAGACTAGGAGCAGCATCATCAAAACAATATACGTGTAGATTAAGTATAATGCATCTCTGTAGAAAATTTGAAAGAAATCTGTCAAGAAATGTGGCAGTTAGAGCGCACAAAAGACATCCACCAAACTATGACCTTTGACCCTATAACAGACGGAACACGGGTGGCAGCATCACCAAACACGAACGATGTGTAGATCGTACTCAGACACACCTCCATCATACATATGAAAGAAATCTGTCAAAAAATGTGGCAGTTAGAGCGCATAAAAGACATATATAAACTTTGACCATATAAAAGACAGAAAAATGAGGGCAGCATTGCCCAAAAGAGTAGATGTGTAGATTATACCAAGATACACCTTTGTTGAAAATTTGAACAAAATCTCTTGAAAAATGAGGCCCATAGAGCACACACAAACCATCCAAAAGAATATGGCCATTTAACCTATAGAAGACGGAACACTGAGGGCAGCACCACCACAAGTTATAGGTGTGTAGATTATACCAAGATACATCTCCATACAAAATTTGAAAGAAATCTGTTAAGTAATGATGCAATTAGACCGCAAACTACAGTGCCACAAAGACATCTATCAAAGTATGACCTTTGACCCTATAAAAGCGGAACACTGGAGGCAGCATCACAAAAATCTATAGGCTTGTAGATTCTACCGAGATACACCTTTGTTAAAAATTTGAACAAAATCCCTTGAAAAATGAGGCCCATAGAGCACACCCAAACCATCCAAAAGAATATGGCCATTTAACCTATAGAAGACGGAACACTGAGGGCAGCAGCACCACCAAAAGTTATAGGTGTGTAGATTATACCAAGATACATCTCCATACAAAATTTGAAAGAAATCTGTCAAGAAATGTGGCAGTTAGTGCGCACACAAGAATAAAATATGGCTTTTTACCCTATAGAAGACCGAACACTGGGGGCAGCATCAACAAAAGTTATAGGTGTGTAGATTATACCAAGATACACCTCCATACAAAATTTGAAAGAAATTAGTCAAGAAATGTGGCAGTTAGAGCGCACACAAGAATAAAATATGGCCTTTTACCCTATAGAAGACGGAACACAGGGGGCAGCATCACCAAAAGTTATAGGTGTGTAGATTATACCAAGATACACCTCTATACAAAATTTGAAAGATATCTGTAAAGAAATGTGGCAGTTAGAGCGCACACAAGATGACGGGGCGGCGTAACGCTGCTGAATCAAAAGTACCCCACCGACATACTGCCGGGGGATACAATTACCATAGTTTGCAGAGATCAGGCGCGTACACAGGGGGGGGGGGGTGTGTTTGAGGGGTTACACCCGCCCCCCCCCCCCTTTGGTATTTTTATATGTGTAAACCCCCCCGTAATCCCCCCCAAAACACCCCCCTTTGGATTTTTTTTTTTTTTTTTTTTATTAAAAAAAAAAAATATTTTCATGGCTGACCTAAAAAAGGTGACCTTACCCCCCCCCCCCCCCCCCCAACGGAGCAAAATGTCAGATTTTCAAATATTGAGACCACAAAAAAAAAAAAAAAGTGTCCTCTTACCCCCCCCCCCCCCCCCCCCCCCCCCCCGCTTATTCAGCGGTCGGCTGAGTCGTTGCGATTTTTCGGGCCGATTTATAAATGTTAAAACCCCCCCCTTGAAAAAAAAAATCATTATTGTTCAATCACATTTTCAAAGAAAATGAATGAAATTAGGCTGATAGTACTACAAAACCCTTGTACCACTAAAGAAAATAAACACTTTGGTGTTTAATCCAAGCAAATTGATACATATCAGATTAAAATTATGTCTCACAATTCGGTAACGGTTAACCGAAAACCAAACGGATTCGGAGGGAGGATAACCGTTTTTGGAATACTACAGCCCTAATCCGGAGTGATCTGTGCATACTGCCAGGAACCGCTTCAAAAATTAAACATGTTAAATTTGTTGTGGCGGTCATGGCAATTTCAAATGGAGCGTGTTCATTTGCGTTCACAACCCTGTTGACCGTTTATTTTTTTTGGCAGTTTCCCGCGGGAAGTTTACTATAGTTACTATAGTTTACTATAGTAAATACCATTGATTTCTTGATTTTGATAAGCTATCGAGCAATGTTACTATGGTAATTACTAATGGTTCTTTCCCTATAAATAACCAGAACCCGAGTCCCAAATTACACTTAAATATATCATATCCATCTCAATAACTGTCCAACAGTAACAACTCTATTTACCTCTGCCTCCTTCCTTCTCTCTCATTAACTGTCCAACAGTAAGAGTTCTATTCACCTCTGCCTCCTTGCTTCTGTGTCAGTAACTGTCCAACAATAAGAGTTCTATTTACCTCTGCCTCCTTGCTTCTCTCTCATTAACTGTCCAACAGTAAGAGTTCTATTCACCTCTGCCTTCTTGCTTCTGTGTCAGTAACTGTCCAACAGTAAGAGCTCTATTCACCTCTGCCTCCTTGCTTCTGTCTCAGTAACTGTCCAACAGTAACAGCTCTATTCACCTCTTCCTCCTTGCTTGTCTCTCAATAACTGTCCAACAGTAACAACTCTATTTACCTCTGCCTCCTTGCTTCTCTCTCATCAACTGTCCAACAGTAAGAGCTCTATTCACCTCTGCCTCCTTGCTTCTGTCTCAGTAACTGTCCAACAGTAACAGCTCTATTCACCTCTTCCTCCTTGCTTGTCTCTCAATAACTGTCCAACAGTAACAACTCTATTTACCTCTGCCTCCTTGCTTCTCTCTCATTAACTGTCCAACAGTAAGAGTTCTATTCACCTCTGCCTCCTTGCTTCTGTGTCAGTAACTGTCCAACAATAAGAGTTCTATTTACCTCTGCCTCCTTGCTTCTCTCTCATTAACTGTCCAACAGTAAGAGTTCTGTTCACCTCTGCCTCCTTGCTTCTGTGTCAGTAACTGTCCAACAGTAAGAGCTCTATTCACCTCTGCCTCCTTGCTTCTGTCTCAGTAACTGTCCAACAGTAACAGCTCTATTCACCTATTCCTCCTTGCTTGTCTCTCAATAACTGTCCAACAGTAACAACTCTATTTACCTCTGCCTCCTTGCTTCTCTCTCATTAACTGTCCAACAGTAAGAGTTCTATTCACCTCTGCCTCCTTGCTTCCGTGTCAGTAACTGTCCAACAATAAGAGTTCTATTTACCTCTGCCTCCTTGCTTCTCTCTCATTAACTGTCCAACAGTAAGAGTTCTATTCACCTCTGCCTCCTTGCTTCTGTGTCAGTAACTGTCCAACAGTAAGAGCTCTATTCACCTCTTCCTCCTTGCTCGTCTCTCAATAACTGTCCAACAGTAACAACTCTATTTACCTCTGCCTCCTTGCTTCTCTCTAAATAACTGTCCAAGAGTAAGAGCTCTATTCACCTCTGCCTCCTTGCTTCTCTCTCAGTAAATGTTCAACAATAAGAGCTCTATTCACCTCTTCCTCCCTGCTTCCCTCTCACTAACTGTCCAACAGTAAGAGCTGAATTTACCTCTGCCTCCTTGCTTCTCTCTCAGTAACTGTCCAACAGTAAGAGTAGATCTATCAAATCTGAAATGGAAAGATTCAAACACCACATTACATCCCAAACTGCTACTTAGACCGAAATCAATAACTTTTGTAAGAACCAACAGTTCAGAAATAATGTTAATATCAATATTTTGTTTAGGTACAGTACTTCAATGCATTTTCATTTTAAGCTCTTTTCCTGTTTCAAATTGTACCATTTCTGTAATGACATTATCATGGGTGGTGGCACAACATAAATTTTTAACTGACCAATGTCTAAACCTCATCTACTTTGTGGATGACTTTTCAGTTAAAACAAGGCATTAGCGATGTTGTCTCGCCCACTTGTGAAAATAACTAGAATATCGCAATGTCCATTGCCATCTATAAGAATTGTAGGGCCTATCGCAAGCTGATTTTGAAATATCTGCCATAGAATGCAACATCCCATAAACTTTGAGAAGGGGTATTACATGATATGCTACTGCCTTTCACCTGCTTCCACTGCATCTACTCCCTCCCCCTTTGATACGAGTAGAATTATTGCATTGATATTTTACATGTGTGAAGGTAAAATGTGTTTGTGTTTGTAGTGTAGCTGAGGTTGCAGGTAAACTTTAACGCTTGACCTCAAATGACTTTTGACCTCTCTATGTGCCAATGTTCAACCTGTGACTCCCCCCCCCCCCCCCCCCCTCCACCCCACACTCCAGCAAAACATAGAGAGTCATAGACAGAAATAACCGTCTGGTGTGGGTCATTTCTTTAATCAAACTGACATTTGTTGATTAAAAGCACTAGAAATAAAAAAAGAAAAAAAAAAACAATTGCATTTTATAAAAAACCAATATGAATGTATTACAAAAATAAATACAAATAGTGAGCCCTCATTCAAGACCAGTTTTGGTCATGCGATTGCATTGCGAAAAAAACGTTGTGAAATCGATCACAAAAGGTTGATCATCTAGCATATACGGTAAGTATTGGTGTGTACTGAAAGGTTCTGGATCATCAAAATGATGAGAAATTTGACCCAGTCATGGTAAAGTTACAAGCACTGTACACAGAAAGATGTATATGGGACTATGCGACACATGCGCAATATCTATCCACTCCGGATAGATATAATAATTTACCAAATATATCAATTAGTATCAAAATTTGTATCATCAGCTATTAGTCAAAACATATTCTTTCACATGATTGTTAAAAAAAGGTACCATTTCATTTTTTGAGAGGGGGGCTTTTCCAAAACTGGTCTATACCTTTACTGACATAATTAAAAGTAACTTGGTAGTGTCAAAAAGTTATATAGAAAATTTCTTAAAGCCATAGCTTTCGTATTCTGCATTCAATTGTTCCCAATTATGCGGATCTGTTTCATTCCATCATAGCTTTAATTTAAAAACTACTTGACTTCAGCCTTTCTAAGCATATCAACTTACTTTCTGCAACTCTCTCTTCAACTCTCAGTAACCTAAAATACAAACAAAACAAAACAAAAAATTACATTTAATAAAATACCAATATCAATATATTACAATAAATACAAATAATGAGCCCTCATTCATAATGCTAAATGACATAAATAAAACAAGTCAACGCAAAGCATAGCATCCCCTCGCAGGGTACATACTGGGAAATCAAACTAAGGCCATGTTTTGATGCCATGTACTTTCATATCAAATTTGATTAAAATCCGTCAAACATTACTAAAGTTATCGATATCAGAAACCAGATTCGCATATTTAATGAGCTATGACCTTTGACCTACATACTCCGAAACTGAACTTATGCTGTATTTTGATAGCATGTACCTTCCTATCAAATTTCATTAAAATCCGTCAAACATTACTAAAGTTATCGAATAGAAACCAGATTTGCACATTTAATGAACTATGACCTATGACCTACATACTCCGAAACTGAACTTATGCTGTATTTTGATAGCATGTACCTTCATATCAAATTTGATTAAAATCTGTCAAACATTACTAAAGTTATCGATCGAAAAACCAGATTCGCATATTCAATGAGCCATGACCTTTGACCTACATACTCGGAAATTGAACTTATGCCTCGTTTTTATACCCTGTACCTTCATATCGAATTTCATGAAAATCCATCAAATATTACTAAAGTTATCGAACAGAAACCAGATTCGCATATTTAATGAGCTATGACCTTTGACCTACTTACTCCGAAATTGAACTTATGCGGTGTTTTTATACCATTTACCTTCATATCAAATTTCATTAAAATCCGTCAAACATTACTAAAGTTATTGATTTTAAACCAGATTTGTTAATGCACACAGAAGGAAGGTCGGGCTTCGACAGCGAGTAGCATAATACAGGGGTCTAGATCCCCTCCTTCTTTGGCGAGGGGATAATTATTATCCCATGACTTTTACAAGCCGATCGCCTGTCAGCTGTGACCTGTCTAATTATCAACTAGCCTATCAAGATATTTATGATTGGAATTAGAAATTAATAGATCTAGACTAGATCTAGGTCTAGTCTAGATCTATGATCTAGGCCTATAGTCAGATATAGGCCTAGTATCTAGATCTAGTAGGCCTAGATCCCTACCGACTTACGGTTTTTAATTTATAACACTGACTTAGATCTAGATCTAGAACTAGGTCTAGATCTAGACTAGGACAGGTCTACGGTCTACACTCTATTGGGGGAAATGAGTATGGTAAAACCGGTCAATCAAAGTCAAACTGAGTCAAAGATTTTCACTTTTTTGAAACACTTCCTTTTCGTTTTTCGTAGGGCTTCAAAATTCAATCACAATCACACTCACTACTCAGCTCACTGAGCTGATATGATAACACGCAGACCCTATATACATGTATACGTAATATGTATCGCATCTCAGACTTGATTTGTACTAAAACTGCAAACATAATATTATAAACAAAGTCAATGCCTTTAAAAGTTTAAATACACTCACACACTTATGCGATAACGCAAAATCTCCAACAAACTAATAAGAAAGGATTCACGATAAAGTAATACAATAGCAACAACCGAATTCTTACCAAAACTAAGCTAGCAATCAGCACAACAGCACAACTATAAAACAGCAGTACTCAGAACTCATATGACCATGATCATGAGAATGTGCATGCAATTCGAATCGGCCAAAATCTTGGTCAGATTAAATTCGCCCTACAGACAATTCGCCCAGTATATTTCTCGTGCATATAATATTTCTCACGAAATGCATGATTTTGCGTGTTTAAGGGAAAAGGAATGTCAAAACAATGGATATCTGATACCTTGTCGTTTAGGCCATGTAAAAAGAATATACATGTTTAGCGTCCCCGCCCGCTTCCTTTTTGGGGGCCGCCTCCTATTATTTTTTTGATTATTATTATTTATTTTTTTTGATTTTTTTTTTTTTTTAGAGAAAAAAAAACATAAAATGTCGGCGGCCATCTTGAAAAGTAGCCCGACTGACAGGGAAAATGTACCGAGCAGCCATTTTGAGCGGCCATTTTGAAAGAAAAAAAAAAAAAAAAAGGGCCTCCCCCTTCCTATTTTTCCTAAAAACAGGACGCTAAACATTTTTTTTTTTTTTATTTGGCCTTATTCCATTGCTCCTTAATTTTCTCTAGCTCTTTCCGTTGCCTAGCTTTGGCTAGCTTTGTATTCTTATTTCACGTGCGTATACCTACCACCATTTCCTTATCCTCGATCTCCCGCTAGCTCTCTCCTTCCAAGATATGCGCATTTCTGATTCCTCGATCTTTCATCCCTCTGTCCAGCTCATGTATTTTTACATGACTATAACGTACCGTCTTCCTCTTTCCTTCTCTTTATTTATATCTCACCATTTTTCATTTTGATGACGTCATCATAGTGAAAATTTCGATTAAATGCGACATGTCAGAATTTTCGTAATTTGCGTGTCATGCCTACCGAAGGTGACTTTTTCTGAAATCTGGATTCTACATTCCTGTCTTTTGCGAGCAATATCGCCATTATTTCTGCTTGGTTTTTGTTGATTTTTGAGTATGTTGTAGCTGAGACTATATGTTATCTAAATGTTCCCTCATTTTTTCAATCAGATGTCAGGATCACGCTCATGATCATCATTATCTTAATGATGATGATCATCATCATCATGGTCTGAAATCTGGATTCTACATTCCTGTCTTTGGCGAGCAATATCGCCATTATTTCTGCTTGGTTTTTGTTGATTTTTGAGTATGTTGTAGCTGAGACTATATGTTATCTAAATGTCCCCTCATTTTTTCAATCAGATGTCAGGATCACGCTCATGAATGATCATCATCGATCACTATCATGATGATCATCATCAATACCATCATGATCATCATCATCATATCATCATCAAAATCATCAGGATCATGATCATGCATGATCATCAACATCATCATCATCATCATTAACATTATCATTATAATCATCATCATCATCATCACCATTACTATCAAGATCATCATCTTCATCATCATTATGATCATCATTGTTTACATGTACATGTCTATATAATTTCTCTCTTAATTTCTCTATATGGGAGATGACTTTTCTCAAATCTGGATTCTACATTCCGTTCTTTTGCGAGTAATATCGCTGTTATTTCCACTTGGTTTTTGTTGATTTTTAAGTATTTTGTAGCTGAGACTATAATGCTATCTAAATGCATGTCTCCCTCATTTTTTCAATCAGATGTCAGCATGATCATGATCATCATCAATATATTATATCATCATCATCATCACGGGCGTCTCCAACAATTTTTCTTCTTCCCTTTCTTTTTCTTTTTGACCTTTCACTGTACCATCTCCTTTGAATATTAACACGTATATCGCAAATAATGTAATAAACAACCATATTTACTTTATTATTACCCTATTATCACTTGATCCATTACTTTTTGCGTGTAATCCTTATGGGAGATGACTTTGTCTCAAAATCTCTACATTCTTGTCTTTTGCGAGCAATATCGCCTTTATTTTGGCTTGATTTTTGTTGATTTTTGAGTATGTTGAAGCTGAGACTATATACTATCTAAATGTTCTCTCATTTTTTTCAGTCTGTCATCATGGTCTAGCTGTTGATGATAATCATCAACAACATCATGATCATCATCATCATCATCGATCGTCATCATCATCACTATCAAGATCATCATCATCATGATCATCATGATGATGATCATTCTTTACATGTCTATATAACTTCTCCCTTTCTCAATATACAAAATATTATAATCTATCATAAGACTTGAAAACAGACCACCTTAATCGTCCTCGTGACGATTTAAAATCTAGTTTATTTATTATTATTATTATTATTTATTTTTATTTCTTCCCGTTTTTTGTTTATCGGTTAACTCAAGATCGGTTGTTTTAATTTCTTTCAATTTTGACACAGTCATAGGTCATTGTCATGAGACGTGACAGGAACATTTTCAAGGTCATCAGGTTATCGTGACGTCATCCAGGCGCCATTTTGTGAAATCACGTTATCCATCATATCTTCGTGATGCATAAGCAAAGGTCATTCATATTCATATCACATATACTTCAGGTCAAGGGTCAACAGGTCATGTCATCAAAGGTCACATAAAGTTCACGACGCGCGCGTACGCGTGCGTCAAAATATTAAAATGCTCAAAATCACTTAACTATCAAAGGAGAGTACGAATCAGGTCATTTTAAGCATTTCAACATTTTCCGTCCGTAAGTGTCCCCGCGCGCGTTGCGCGCGCTCACAACGCGCGGAAAAGGTCAAATTCATTTGTTTTACATGATTTATATTCCTCTTACCGTAAATGACAATTTACATTAATTTCAGTCACTCTTGACCTTTCATAAGGCCGTGAGCGCGCGTCAAAGTTCAAAATCCGCGCGTGCTGCTATGGGCACTATAATGCAAATTTGATCAAAAACATCCCATTTTAAAAATCAAAATAGCTCTTCAGATAGTCAATTGACCCCAACTTTTATATCATGGTTGGAAAAAACATGAGTTGGAGATATGATTTCATGTGTCATTTGACCCTCAATTAACTCATGACGCCATCATAATGGCCTCCGAACTCAAAATTTCAATTTGCATATTATGACGTCAACATATTTTTATAAAATTGATTGTATCTCTGTAAATATTAATTCATTTTCTTTCAAATTTTGATATGTTCTACCTGAGAATATTGTCTACAAATGCAGTAACCACGATATTTCATTTTGACAAGGGCATCATGGCGTATTTTTTGCGATTAAAGCAGGCATGTCAATTTTTCACATTTTGCGTGTATTCCCTATGAGACATGACTTTTTCTCAAAACTGGATTCTACATTCTCGTCTTTCGCGAGCAATATCTCCATCGTTTTATCTTTGTTTATGCTGAGCTTTGAGTATGATGTAGCTGAGAGAATGAGCTATCACGAGTGTGCCCTTTATTTTTCGATCAGATGCCGGGATCATGCTCATATTTCACTTATAAAGTAGGATTTGTGAATTCTATTTTCCGTTTACGTGTAATCTCTATGGGAAATGTTTTGGCATATCGGTAACGCACTTGACTTCCGACCTCGAGGTCCCTGGTTCGAGTCCGGGAGTCTCCAACAATTTTTTTCTTTTCTTTTTTTTTTCTTTTTTGACTTTTCAATGATCATAAAATTGAAAACAGACCACCTAATTCGTCCCCATGACGAATTAAATTTCTAGTTTATTCTTTATTTTTATTTCTTCCCGTTTTTTGTTTATCGTTTAACTCAAGATCAGTTGTCTTAATTTCGTTCAATTTTGACACAGTCATAGGTCTTTGTCATGAGACGTGACAGGAACATTTTCAAGGTCATCAAATTATCGTGACGTCATCCAGGCGCCATTTTGTGAAATCACATTATCCATCATATCTTCATGATGCATCAGCAAAGGTCATTCATATTCATATCACATATACTTTAGGTCAAGGGTCAACAGGTCATGTCATCAAAGGTCACATAAAGGTCACGACGCGCGCGTACGCGTGCGTCAAAATTTAAAAATGCTCAAAATCACTTAACTATTAAAGGAGAGTACGAATCAGGTCATTTTAAGCATTTCAAAATTTTCCGTCCGTACGTGTCAACGCGCGCGTTGCGCGCGCTCACAACGCGCGTAAAAGGTCAAATTCAAATGGTTTGCATGATTTAGATTCCTCTTACCGTAAATGACAATTTACATTAATTTCAGTCACTCTTGACTTTTCATAAGGCCGTGAGCGCGCGTCAAAGTTCAAAATCCGCGCGTACTGCTATGGGCAATATAATGGAAATTTGATCAAAAACATCCCATTTTAAAAATCAAAATAGCTCTTCAGATAGTCAATTGACCCCAACTTTTATATCATTGTTGGAAAAAGCATGAGTTGGAGATATGATTTCATGTCTCATTTGACCCTCAATTAAGTCATGACGTCATCATAAAGGCCTCCAAACTCAAAATTTTAATTTTCATATTATGACGTCAGCAGATTTTTGGAAAATTGATTGTATCTCTGTAAATGTTGATCACTTTTCTTTCAAATTTTGATATGTTCTACCTGAGAATATTCTCTACAAAGGCAGTATCCACAATATTTCATTTTGACAAAGGTATCATGGCGTATTTTTGCGATTAAAGGAGGCATGTCAATTTTTCACATTTTGCGTGTATTCTCTATGGGACATGACTTTTTCTCAAAACTGGATTCTACATTCTCGTCTTTCGCGAGCAATATCTCCGTCGTTTTATCTTTGTTTACGCTGAGCTTTGAGTATGTTGTAGCTGAGACAATAAGCTATCACAAGTGTGCCCTTTATTTTTCGATCAGATGCCGGGATCATGCTCATATTTCACTTACAAAGTGGGATTCGACAATTCTATTTTCCGTTTACGTGTAATCTCTATGGGAAATGTTTTGGTATATCGGTAACGCACTTGACTTCCGACCTCGAGGTCCCTGGTTCGAGTCAGGGCGTCTCCAACAATTTTTTTTCTTCACTTTTTTTTCTTTTTGACCTTTCACTGTACCATCTCTTTTGAATATTAAAACACATGCAATCGCAAATAATGTAATAAACAACCATATTTACTTTATTATTACCCTATTATCACTTGTTCCATTATTCTTCATTCATCAATTCATATCTCAATACATCATTTTACA